CTGCTCAACCATGGTTGGCTTTGCTTGGAAGCATGAAGGAAATGATTCCTCTGTGTTGACCTTCCTCTTTATAGACTGGACACTGGTTCAAGTCCATCTGGTGGGGTCTCCTTGGCCTCCTTGATCAAGAGGACAGGTGCTCCACCACCATTATAGGACATTTTGAGAGATGCTCACAGTCTCTCTGATCAAATTATTATAGACCTCAAAAGTATGTCTGTTAAACACCCAAGAAGGTTAGTTCTACCAGCCTGGTCTTTTGAATTACTGTGTGTCATATCGATAAATGTTGGGCAAAGACCAGTTGTTCTCAGATAAAACTTACCTAGACATATATTTCTTGATCTGCTATGTATAATTTGTCAGTAGGTTGTAGGAGTAATATGGTTCTCACTGTTTTTCAAAGCTAGCTAGGCATTGTTTATCTCTCACATTGTCTCACCTCTCCATCATAGTTTTCCCTCTTAAGGTGCCCCCATTTCCCCCCCTTTCTCTCTTACTAATACCCTTCTCCTATGGTCCTACCTCTCTTGAGCTCCTTCTTTCCCTTTATCCCCTAGGTTCCTTGTATACCCTTCCCTCCCCCCTCCCTTAAACTAACACAATTTTTATGCATATCTCCCTTATTAGGGCCTGTTTCCTACTGTTCTTCTCTTTTAGGTTATTTCTTTTGCTTTACCTCCCTGTTTCCTTTCCATTATTCTGGTTCCTGTAGTTATGTCTGGTTACATACTTATTTATCAGAGTCTGGTTCTAGGATCCACATATGAGAGAAAACGTGTTACTTCACTTAGTATAACAGTTTCTAGTTCCATCCATTTACCTGCAAATTTCATGATTTCATCTTTCTTTACTGCTGAGTAAAACTCCATCATATAAATGAACCACATTTTAATTACCCACTCATCAATTTAGGGACACTTAGGTTGCTTCCATCTGTTAGCTATTGTGAAAAGAGCAGCAACAAACATGGATGTACAAGTGTCTCTGCGATGAGTTCTTTGGGTACATGCCAAGGAGAGGTGTAACTAGGTCAAATGGTAGGTTTATTTCCAATTTTTTAAGAGTTCTCCACACTGCTTTCCATAGGGGTTGAAGCAGTTTGCAGCCCCACCAGCAGTGGATGAGTGTTCCCGTTTCCCCACATCCTCCCCAACATTCGGTATCGTTTGTTTTCTTGATCTTAGCCAGTCTGACTGGGATAAGGTGGAATCTTAAAATGGATTTAATTTGCATTTCCCTAATTATTAGTGATGCTGAACATCTTTTAAGACGTTTCATAGCCATCTTTACTTCTTCTTTTGAGAACTCTCTGTTCAGCTCCTGTCCTAGTTTGTTTCTTCATTGCTGTGATAAAATACTTTGACCACTACCAACTTGGGGAGGAAATGGTTTATTTATCTTACATCTCCCGGGTCACAGTTCATCGGGGAGCCCCAGGTAGGAACTCAGGGCAGGAACCTGGAGGCAGGAGCTGGAGCACAGGCCATGGAGGAACACTGCTTACTGAC